CGACCTGCTGGGCTCCAGCGATCCTTCCGCTCAGCCTTCCAAGTAGCTGGAACTACAGGCGCGCGCTACTACACCCGGCTAATTTTTTGATTTATTGTACAGATGAGGTCTCGCCAAGTTGCCCACGCGGGTCTCGAACCCGCGGGCTCAGGCAACCCGCTCACCTCGGCCTCCCAAAGCGCTGGGATTACAGGCTGAGCCACCGATCCCGGCCTGTACTATGTTCTTGTACAACGGTACCATTAGAAGAAACTACATAAAGGGTCATTTCTTACACCTGCTTATGGCTTATGTTTTTCTGCTGTACTATAATTTTCTACAGTAAACAATGTAGTAAATATCTCCTGTGTCTGCCTGACCAACATCCATTCCCTCTTGGTCTAGAAAGAATACTCAATTTTGCTTTGGGGAACTATGCCCTACCCTACTTGGTAGGTTTGTCCGTCAGGATGTCTCACCGTCCCTGGGCAGTGGGTCAAACAGGTTCACTCTTCCTTAAATTTTAACCTTGAGCACAGAGTAGACAGAGTAGACAAAGTCCTTCCCAACTGGAGTGCCTTGATGAGACTATGAATTATTAGTTCTAGCTACCTGATCTCTGAAGCAGCCTTCCTCCTCAATTTCAGAGCCTGTTGCTTTCCTTTAAGCATGAGAGATACCCACATTCTTCCAATAAATGTCATTTTGCTTAAGGTTATTCACATTAGGTTCCTATTACTGTCACCTAAAGAACCCACTCAAATAAATGCTCCCTTCAAACAAACCTAACACAAAAAAATTAATCTAGTTTTTCATTTTTTATAATTTAAACTTTGTTAGACCTTAATTAAGCTTTCATCCATAAAATGTTGCTCAAAAATAAATAGGTTCGCTGGGCTCGGTGGCTCAGCCTGTAATCCCACGCCTTTGGGAGGCTGAGGTGAGTGGACTGCCTGAGCCCGCGGGTTCGAGACCCGCCTGGGCAGCGAGACCTCATCTCTACAATAAATCAAAAAATCAGTAGGGCGTGGTGGCGCATGCCTGTAATTCCAGCTACTTGGAAGGCTGAGGCAGAAGGATCGCTGGAGCCCAGCAGGCGAGGTTGTGGTGGCCGGGAGCGGCCACTGCACTCCAGTCTGGGTGACAGAGTGAGACTCCAACTCAAAAAAATAAATAAATAAATAAATAAATAAATAGGTTCTTACAAATGAACTTAATGGATGAACACATTTAACAAGAGTTAAAAGGATTAATTAAGATTTTTTTTTTTTTGGTGGTGAGAGTCTCTCCCAGGCCGCCAGATGTTTCCTGCTCAGAAAACTCCTGTTTCTTCCTTGCCAGAGCTCTGAAGACCCTGCATTGGAAATGCAAGCTCATCCGGTGGTCGTTGTAACCCAACCTGGGAGTGGTCCTGCCCCCCAAAACTCCAACTGGCAAACAAGCCTGTGTGACTGCTTCAGTGACTGCAGAGTCTGTCTCTGCGGTATGTTTTGCTTCATGTCCCTTGGGTGTCAAGTGGCTTCTGACATGAACGAATGCTGTCTGTGTGGGACGACCGTCGCCATGAGGACCCTCTACCGGACCCGATACGGCATTCCAGGTTCTATTTGTGACAACTTTATGGCGACCTTTGCTGTCCTGTGTGTTCTGTTTGCCAAATCAAGAGAGATATCAACAGAAGAAGAACCATGCATGCTTTCTTAAAAAACTGATGGTGAAGAGAGCTTATAGAGATTACAGAAATCAGCAGACACCTAGCCTGAGTCCTTCACTGTCTTCTGCAACTGAAATATGATGAAAACACCAATTTTTGACTTATTTTAAATGAATGTTATCTCTGATTTTCTCCTTTCTTCCATGTGATCAAATTTTCGGACTATAAGTTTTTTAAATTACATTTAAAATATAAACCAAATAAAAGATTTTACTGACAAGAAAAAAAAAAAAGACTAAGTTCTAACTACAAACCAGGCATGCCATGTCCAAGTGACATGAACATACATGGAATGCTTACTGCTCTCAAGTATCACAGGCAAGTCAGATTAACTATAATGAATTACTATAATATAACATGAGAACTGCTGTAATCGAGGTGTATCTGAAATGTTATGCCAACACAAAGAAAGTCAGTTCAGTAAGGGATTCAAACTATAAATTTTAACCTATTCTGGCCTGGCTTTATGCATTATCTAAACCAGTCAGATCATAAATATACATTTTCAATCCCACAGCCATAGAGCAAATGTTAACATACATGTTTCCAATCTCTTACATACTTTCATTAATATTATGCATAATACTAGAAATCTCAATGCTAGCATAAGTCAAATGACAAAAATAATAAAGCTTAATGTAGATTGGGTTTTTAAAACTATGACCAAACAATGGTTACAAACTGCAAGAACAGAAAAAAAGTACACTTAATGAATAAACATTTACATAATAATATCACTATTATTTCTGGACTAATTATTTAGTTTTATAAAGTAAAAATCATGCATCCAAAGGTAAACTCAATTAAATTTGTCAAAGTGTGCTCTATAAATTGCATAACACTTCTTTAGAATAAAGTAATACTTCTTACCTTCTGGAGTTGGAATGCACCCCAAGAAAATAAAAGGAGAAAAAAAAGCTTTTAATTTTTCTTTACAAAGCAACAATAAAGCCAAAACATAAACTTCCCCTTCCCCTCCCAACAAAATCCACAATTCCTCAAATTAGAGACCATCTTGCTACATAAAACATTAATTCTTTAAAATTTACAAGTTAGTTTAAAACAGCATATCAAAATGTCTAAATATGCACAATTAAATTTAGCTAAACACTATAAACCACTTCAGAAAACGGTTGCATACCTTAATTATGTTACAGAGTAAAACTGTAACAGTAGTTTAGAGTTAAATGTGAATACAGTGACTATTTCCCATTCTTTAATAGTCTTCCCATGCATTTCAATTTGAAGGAGCCATCACAAAGCCATCAGCTATGGACCCTATGGTTTATTCGCTTCCTTTTAACCCATAAAAGAATTTCATTGTAAGTCTAAACGACAGTGAATAAGAATACTCTTTTGTGACACGCATTTCGTTTCTGTTTTCTTATTATTAATCCTTTTTGACATCCTTACCAGGTTTGCAGGCCTGAAAGCAGACTGCAATTAGTAGATAAAGATGCAGGCTTAACCACAAAGGTATCAGTAAACCTTAGATAAATATAGTATCAATTTAATAAATAATGTTCTCATTCCAAAACTGACCTTTCTAATGGAATCACTTCAAGGTAATTCAACTTGGCAAATAACCAAGTGTTTTCTGTAAAAAGTAGTGGAGAATGTTGACTTTATTTCCATATATATATGGAAATACTTTTGCAAAAGGACAGGTGGGGGAAATTAGGTGCTCTGATTAGCTTTTGGTTTGAGGTAAGCTAAAACAACCTTAAATACCATGTGAGAGAGATTATTTTCTTCATAAATAAACATATTAGTAGCCGGGTTCAGCCTGTAATCCTGCGGTTTGGGAAGCTGAGGTGGGTGGACTACCTGAGCCCGCGGGTTCGAGAACTGCCTGGGCAACTTGGCGAGACCTCATCTCTACAATAAATCAAAAAATCAGCGCGCCTGTAGTTCCAGCTACTTGGAAGTCTGAGGCGGAAGGATCGCTGGAGCCCAGCAGTTCAAGGCTGCGGTGGCGGGAAGCAGCCACTGCACTCCAGTCTGGGCGACAGAGTGAGACTCCAACTCAAAAACAAAAAACATTAGTACTATTCAGATATGACTGGGACTCCTCCAAAGAGGTAAAATTTCAAAACGGAAAATGTTTACTGAACATGATCTCTGCTGGGTGGTTCCCAGAGCTCTTTATAATCATAACAGAAAAAAAGCTTCCAACTTTGCTTGGGGAGAAGACTGAAATGTAAGAAAAACTCCTTGCTAGATAACAATCTTGAGTTCTGAAAAACAACTATACATAAAGACCTTTAAATATGTTTAACTTTTTAAAAATGTACTGAATCTTCCAGAAGCCATGTTATTATACTGACTGAGGTTTTTATTTCGAATTCTTCCAGACAGCAATCTGTAATTAGATAGCAACCAACCTAATATTGTTACACGTCAGCACACAATATAGATTTTAAAAATAAACCAGGCACGGTGGCTCATGCCTGTAATCCCAGCACTTTGGGAGGCAGAGACAAAAGGATTGCCTGAGCCCACGGGTTTGAAACCAGCCTGGGCAACATGGTGAGACCTCATCTCTGCAATAAATCAAAAATTTAGGCAGGCATAGTGGTGCATGCCTGTAGTTTCAGTTACTTGGAAGGCTCAGGCAGAAGGATCGCCACAGCCAAGCAGGTCGAGGCTGCGGTGGCTATGAGCATACCACTGCACTCCAGCCTGGGAGACAGAGTGAGACTCCAACTCAAAAACAAAACCAAACAAAAATATTAGAGCAAATATACTAATCAGAAAAGTAGGGAGAACTATGGATATAAAAGCAGTATGATATACCAAAATGAACAAAACCAGAAGCAGTAAGCCTGGGTTTCTAGTTTCACTGAGCTATTTATACACGTATTTCAGTGTGTGTGTTCTGCCAACAGTGTGTAGTAGGTGTAGTTGTTCTATTGTTTTATAATAAGCCAGAATATCCAAATAGCACACACAGAGCCTTGAGTTCTCATCTGTTAGATACATACGGAAATAGTAAAGTGATAAAATGCTTGTGACTTACTTCAAAACAGTCTAGAGCAGGAGGACTATCTATGATGGAGGATGTATACTTTTGTTTTACTTTGGAATTTTCCAAAAGGAAAACACTTATATTTTATTTATTTATTTTTGAGTTGGAGTCTCACTCTGTCACCCAGACTGGAATGCAGTGGTCGCTCCCAGCCACCACATCCTCGACCTGCTAGGCTCTGACAATCCTTCCGCCTCAGCCTTCCAAGTAGCTGGAACTACAGGCGCCCATCAGACAATACCAATATGATATAGAGTGAGGGCTGTGAGCCACCCAACAATATGATTTAGGGCAGAGGCCTGGGTCACCTGGTTTCAGTCACCATCTGGAGAAGCTGGAGACTGGAAATTGAGATCAGTCACATAGGCAATTAACCCTGCCAACATGATGGAACCCCAATAAATACTCTGGACCAGATACCACGGCTTGAGTGAGCTTTCTTGGCTGGCAATACTCTATGCATATTCACACATTCAGGTCTGTAAAGTAATACTTTCCTGAGTCCATGGGCATAGGATGACTGAAAGTTCTACTTGGTACTTTACCTTGACTCTCCCTACATGTCTCTTCCCTTGGTGGATCTTAATCTGTATCCTTCCCATAACCACTGAGCATAATGATGTTCAGTGAGTTATATAAGTACTTTTAAGCAAATTATAGAACTTCAAGACTACTCTTGAAGATGTCTGAAAACAGTCATATGGATTGTTCCCTCTAATTTTACAGTTGGCTAAACTCTCATAGAATGAGTTTCCAAAGTTTTCCTCTCACCATTCTGGCTAAAGGGCACGTCCTAGTCAGGGAGACACATGGCTACACGCTACAGGTAAAACTCTGGGAGAAGCCCTATCTTTCTGGTCAGAAGACAGGAAAAAGGGGCCATGAAGAGAGGAGTGTTGGGGGAATCCCAGAAAGAAGAGAACTGGAAAAGGAAATCCTCTACTACCCATAAAGGCTTGGGCTCATTCCTAAGCTGTGCATAGTTGGGGTAGTTCCAATACAGCAAAGGCGTTGAGAATGGAACCAACACTCAAGCCTCAGACAAACCCTGAGTGGCACACACATGGAACACACCCAAAACAGTAGAGCACAGGCTCTGAAACTAAACTGATGACTGAACCAACACCTGAAGATGGTGAGAGAGAACATGTTGTCTGAGACCAGCTGGGCTGATTGGGTTGATGCCTATTTAAAAAAGAAAGAAAGCTGGGTTCGGTGGCTCAGCCTATAATCCCGTGGTTTGGAAGGCTGAGGTGAGTGGATTGCCTGAGCCCGCGGGTTCCAGAACCGCCTGGGCAACTTGGTGAGACCTCATCCCTACAATAAATCAAAAATTAGCTGGACGTGGTAGCGCGCGCCTGTAGTTCCAGCTACTCGGAAGGCTGAGCCGGAAGGATCGCCGGAACCCAGCAGGTCGAGGCTGTGGTGGCCGGAAGCGGCCACTGCACTCCAGTCTGGGTGACAGAGTGAGACTCCAACTCAAAAAAAAAAAAAAAAAAAGAAAGAATGAAAGAAAGAAAGAAACCAACACTCCCCAGAGACTTTTAACAGAAAAACAGAGCCTAAAAAACACAATGTTCAAAATGCCCAAAATCTTACATTTCTCAATATATAAAGATCCAGGAAAGTTTGAGGAACTCTTAAAGGAAAGACAATCAACACTTCCCAACCCTTAGATTACCCAGATATTGAAGTTATCAGACAAAAAATGTAAAGCATTTATTATACCTATACTCCATAAGGTACAAATGAACTTGAAATTTATGAAAAGATGGCAGTTTTTAGCACAGAAAAAGAAACTCAAAGAAGACAAGATTTTTAGAATTTGAAGATACAATGTCAGAAATTAAAAATTTCACCAGATGGGCTCAATGGCTGAATGGAGATAACAGAAAAGAGTTGGGAAATGTCAAAATAGAGCAATAGAGATTATCCAACCTAAAATACAGAATGCTCACAGACTCAGAGAA